GGCAGGGACTGCGCGGAGCCACAGCGCCCTTGGGCTTGGAAAGGGCTGCTCAGATCATCGGGGCCAAGCTACGACCCAGCATCACCTTGTGAGCCAGACCGGGACACTGAGTGCCATGTCCAGTCTTTCCTTAAACACCTCCAGGGCAGTGACTCCATAACTTCCCTGGACAGCCCATTCTAATGTCTCATCAGCCCTTTGAAAAAAACTCCTCCGAATGTCCAAACTGAACTTGCCTGGGAAGGTGTTCGGGTTACAGAGCCCCAGGACTGAGGACATTCAGAGAAAGGGCTGTGCCTAGGCTGAGCTGTGGGCGTAGTAGTGGCTGGGTAGCCTGTAAGCAGCTGCTTGGCCTTCTAGAATGCTAAATTTTGTGTTGAATTGCATTTAAAATATTTGGTGAATATATGGTTATTACAGCAGCCAGGTTATTCTCAGCCAAAGAACCAAAATTATTTTATTCCACATTTCATTGATTCATACTTTGTTGTGTCTTCTTCTCAGAAACAAAGTCCAGACATGCTTCTTTTACGTTTTTATTTAACTAATAAATGAAGTTTCCACATAGTAAATATTTGAACCTTTTGGGCTGTGTATTATGCAAATGTCTTGCTTGAACATACAGCATTTTTGGTCTACTACCATAGATGTTTGTCTGGAGGCAGATGTTTAAAGTTCTGCTTTGGGCTTGCTGATAATGCCTTTATAAACAGTGTTGTTTTCACTTAAGCAAAGGACATTAAGTGATCAGAGATATTTAAGCTCCTCTGCTTTTTCTTTAAATGCAACTCTCTTGTAAAGACAGTATCATCATACACAGGTTCAGAAATTCTTGAAATAGTTTCTCTGCCTGTCTTGTTTGGGTTTTTTTAATCAAGGTCTATTGAAGCCCACAGATAGGCTTTTCCATAGTCTGGATATACTAATTGTAAATATTACATAATGCCTTTGTGTTTTCTTTCATAAGTCTGTCTTTACTGGCTTCATCCCTTTTTAAATGATTTAGTTGGAGAAATCTGTAATTTTTTCTTATTACAGGCTGTAGAGGAGCACAAGTTGAAGAAATATGGAGTTTGGAGCCAGAGAACTTTGAAAAATTGAAGTAAGGCATATGGTTTTTATTCACATTTGTCTGAAGTCCGTGAAGGAATGTGTACTAAACTCAGGTGTATTTTTGGTGGATCTGTTGTTTGGGGCATTTCGTGTTTGTATTTTTTCCTTCAGTTTCAACAGAAGTTGGGTAGGATTTTGATTTAATGGAATACCTGGCAGTTAAATTGCTTTTCATTAATGCTTTGGTACTTAATCTAGCTTAATCAGGTTTTGAAAGAAATGCTGATGGTAGCTAGAATGTGGAAGTAGATTTGTAATGATTTTTCCATTAGCTTGCCTTAGAGCTCTTAACAAATTCTTGGGTGAATTTCCTTGCCTTATTCCTTGGGTTCCTTGCTTTATCTCCCTCTCTCCTCACATCCCATGATGTTGTCTCTGTTATCTTAAATAATTTTCCAGTACTTCCATACCTTTGTAACTCATTTTTCCTGCAGAACCATTTCCATGTGGATGTGAAGGCAAATAGATTTTTTATAACTGATAATGACTGGTGTCATGTGGAACACTTTTGCCCTCATTAAGCAACATTAATTCTTTTAATGTTTTGTCCATGTGTGAACATGCTGTTATCCATGTTTACGTGCAGGATTTTAGGAGGAAAATATCATTTAACCTGGACCATACTCTTGTATCTTGTGCAAATATCCCATACTTGTAGGATTAATCTTTCAAAAGATGCAGGAATTGGTACAGAGGATGTACTTCTGGAATTTTTGACTGAAGATGTTTGACCAGCAACACCTGAATGGCAGAAATGTTGCCTATTAATTGGTTTATGTGCTGTCTGCACCATCAGAGCATTTACCTGTTTGTTCATTAAGTGACAGCTTTGCATATCCTGGCGATGTTTTGTCTTTCTAGTCCTGGGGAATGGCCAGCTTCCATCCTCCCTTCCCATTTACACCTGCAATATTTTACACAGTGTATGAACACTGGGAGTGAAAGGATACAGAATCCTCTTTGTTTTCTAAACAGCAGCTCTGTAGGCACACAGTTCGGTGGTTGTGAGTGGGCTGGCCCAGCCTCATCCCCAGTGGGTGCAGCTGTGAGCAGCAGGTGAGCAGCACTGACAGCAACGAGCCATGGAGTGCCCAGGGGCACTGAGCAGCCACCAAAGGGAACAGAGGGCACACGGGGGCAGGGCACCAACAGGAGGGGATAAAAGGCTGGGCTACAGAACAAGAAGGGCAGAGGCTTGAAGCCTTCTGATGTGACAGGGTGTTACTCTGTGGGCTGAAGCTTTCTGAAACTGGGTGGTGATACCCTGTGTGTTGTAGCTGTCTCAAGTGTGACACGTGCTGAAGAGAGAATTCCACTGAGAGACTTTGAAAAAATGCATCTCAGATTTCTGGTCAGAGCTTAGGAAAAGTTTCTTGTGCACTACAGGCGTATGTTTGTCTTTTGTAGCAAAACCATTTCTGGCCTCTTTTTGGTGATGACCTTAGATTTAAGTTGATGAATAAGTTTTTTTCTTACTGTAACTGAAGATTTTAAGACCTGTTTTCTTTATTGATAAATTGTTGGGTTCTGGAAATACTAAATACAGTGCAATGTGTAGTAAAAGCTGTTTACTATTCAGGACATGTAGTCTGAAAGGCAAGACACATTTTTACTAGAAGAGAAAACTGGGTTTCTCTTACTTGTGGTGAGCTAACTCAAAGCATGAAGTTTTGGGAGAGCTCCTCTTGGGCCATTTTATCTGTGTCTATAAGGATTTCCAAAACATTTGTTCTTGCTCTTGTGTATGACTGACAAATGCATTGATAGCTGTTTGTCACTAACCAATTCAAATGAAAGTTCTGCAACTGTAAAAGTTGCAGTAACCAAGAAAACTGGTCCTGACTTTTGAAAATTAGTGGCTAATTGCTAATTCATATTGGGATTTGTTTGTTTGTTTGTTTGGGTTTTTGTTTGTTTGTTTAGCATTTACAGAAAGAAACCTGAATTGTCTTTTGTCTAATTAAAAGAGCACATCTGAAAATTACAGTGCATGTTCCTGGTATTTAGAAAGAATTAACAGAATTACCATACCAGCATGCAGCTAAACTACAGTACAGATAATTTTAATATTTTTCATCAGTATTGGTGACCTTTTTACTATAAATTTTGTTTTTCAGGCCAGTACATGGGCTGATTTTTCTCTTCAAGTGGCAGCCCGGAGAGGAGCCAGCGGGTTCTGTTGTCCAGGATTCCAGACTGGATACAATATTTTTTGCTAAGCAGGTATGAGAAATTCAGTAATTGTTTTAGCTATATAACGAAACATAGCTTTTAATATAAAAAAAAAAAAAAAAAACAAAAAAAACCAAACCAAAACAAAAAAGAGCTGGCTTTTTGTTAATATGTACACAGAAATTTTGCAAGGTTAAGTAGTTTCAACAAATTCTGAGAGTAGGAGCTGTGTATTGACAAAGCAAATCAGTTTAATCTGTCAAGTCTGACAAAAATTGCAGATATGGAAGAGTAAAGCTCTTATTTATTTGTCAGCCCTCACCTATAAAGTAACTCAGTCTTCTGTGCAGTAGAAGTCTTGTGGTAAATGTTCTCAGCAGGATGAGCAAATTACTTCTTTTGAAACCACTTTCAACAACTCATTAGAACAAATTTATTTTGATCCTGTTTTTATTTCTTACTTTTCTTAAATGCTGTGAAGCTTGGGCAGTATATGTAGGATAATGCTTTCCTTTAAGGGTTTGCAGACCATTTTGGCATGCAAGTTTTAAGTATTCAAATCAGAAATGTGAATTTAAATTAGAAATCACTGGGAAATTGGTTTAGCTGATGTAGTCCATTGTGTTTTACTAAATACAGAGTAGTACTGAAATTTTGTCTTAGAGTTAACAGACCGCTGTGTGTGCTTTTTGCAAGAAAGAAAAGCAAGAGAAAGTGATCAGAATGAATCAGTAGGAGTATTTAATATGGGTATTTATTACAAAACATTGTCATCAAAGGGCAAATTATTAGGATTTCTGTGAAGACTGTTACACGGTGTAGTTGTTGGGGTGTTAAGGGTGGGGGTTCTGGGGGGGCTTTTATTTTTTTCATTGGGTTTTTTCTTATTTCCCACCACAAATGCAAATTTTGAATGTAAATTTCAAGATATGAAAAAATGTATTCACACTTCCAGGTAAAAGTATAGAAATATGGAAAACAATGCAAATAGTCATCCTGGCCACTCTGTACCTGCACTTCTGTTTCATTCCTTTTATAATCATGCTGTTGTGGATCAGCTTTTTCAATGCTGCTTCTCTTCATTCTTTCCCTGCTGTAGCTCTTAAGTCCTGCCAAGCCCTGCCCAACATTTTTATGATGCAGTGATCAGTAGCAGTTTACTAATTGGAGTTTGGTAGCTCTCATAGACGCTGGTTTAGGTTGTGATTTCTGTCTAACCAAACATACTGGTAGTAGCCATGGGCTGTAACCGAAGAACTTAAAGAAAATCCTTGATGTAGCTTTCAAAAGGTAGTTCCATGGTGGGAGGAAATTACTCTGATTGGAATCTAGAGAGGGATTTTTTTGGAGGATGTTGGGTTTTTATTTTAAATGGAAGGTGAATTTTCCCTCACACAAGGGGTTTCATCTTGTTTCTTGTGAGTAGCTGAGGTTGTCCTAGAATTGCTGTTCTTGTGAATGCTGAACAGTTTTTAAGCATTTGTCTGCTTGCTCCACTTCTTTTGCCTTTTCCACCCCCTTCCTTTTTTGAAGCTTGACACTGTGTTTAAATGCAATGGCTAAGAGGAGCTTTCTTGAGATTTAAGATGAGACTGTAGAATGTACATCACAAAATTTGGAAGATCTTAGATTTGATAACAAGCCCCACAAAATTAAAGGCTAACAGTGAAAAGTCGTCTTTATTTTATAATTTTCTTTGAAACACTCATATTTTAATGTATTCTTAAGCTGAAACCTCCTTTTTAATTGCCCCTTTCCTTTACCTTCTGCCTTTAAAGAGAGTGTGCTGGAGTGACTCTTAGTTTTAGCGTGGAAAGCAATTTCTGGAAATGTTGACTCTTACAATAGTACTGCCTGGTTATGCCACTTGATGGCGTGGAATAGATGTTTCAAAAGTCATTTGCATCAAGTTCAGAATTAGAATGTTTTTCTCTTTTTATTGTTAGCTGTCAGTCAAGTGCAGTGGCTTTGCAAAATTAAAACATTGCTTAAAGACATCTATATGCTTGTGTTTCATTTCAGTTCAGTTTTGCCTGCACTGAGCTATTGTGACTGAACAACTAGAAATAGGTGCAGAGAAATGATTATTAAAAGTAACAGAAAGAAACTGCTTTGGATATTTTGGAGTAATCTGTTTAATACCAGTTTAGCTCTGGTGACTTTCACACTGCAGAAAGTTAGCCTGGGTTAGGGATCCAACTTGACAAACAATGTTTTGAGGATTTAGTGTTTTCTTGAGCGTGTCAGATCTTATAATTTGCTGCTGCTGAGAGCAGGGTGCAGTGAAACACTGTGAGGCAGTGAAGCTGATCCCCCAGCAGTTCTCTGTGCATGCTATCTGGGCTGGTCTCTGCTGCACTGTGACATGTACTGCTGTACTGTTCAGCAAGTCAGGACAAAACTGGTAAGTGAGAGAACAGGGGGTTCTTTATGGTAGTGCTGAAGTTACTGCACTTCTCAAACCACAGTCTGGATCCTTCTGACTCACCCAGGAGCACAAAGCAAGATGAGCATTAGTATTGAATATTTGTGTTGTGAAAGAGCAAGTCCTCTCAGCCATCGTGCAGCTGGGTTCATGTGTCTTTTATTTCCTCTTTATGTTTTAACCTAAATTTTGTGCGTGCTTTAAGGGTCTTTCCAGAAGACCTTTTTCTTCATTACAAAAGGGATGATGTAAAAGTACACTATGTTCATTTGTAGGTTGGGATCCTAGAACAAATAGATTGGTTAGGACAATTTTTATGACATTTAAGGTTATTGATCTGTATCTTCAAAACTGTCATGACACTGGAGCCTGAAAAATCTCAACAAGTCTTTGCCTCTCTTTTCTCACACATTTTCTTCTTTTAAATGTTCCCATCTGAAGACATTTGGTACAATTGGTTTTACTGCAGACATGTTTTCACGTGTCTTCCTGAATCCTGTGTGAGCAAGACAAGGTTACTATTAATATACAACAAGAGTTGAGTAAAGGAGATAAATTTTGTTTCTGTTCACAACTTTATTATGTGTTAACATAACAATTTTAAAAATTGTTTTATTATGGGGAACTTTATTTAGAGGTAAAAGGCTACAGCTCTCAAACTGTCTAGTAAAACATCTTTAAAATTGCACTAGGAAACACAATTTTGGTAAGAAGCTTGTGCATGCTCCCATTTTCCTCATTTCCACTTCCATAGTGATGTTGTAGTTGAATCCCAAATGACAACTAGATTTTGTTCCAAGTTATATCACGCCTGTGTTGGGGGGTTGAATTTTGAAGTCTGTCTTGTATGCATGCATATTAAAAGGGTGTTTTTAATGGTCACTTTTATGTGCACTCATGTTAAATTTGGCCTCCCTGTTATGCCTAGGTATGGTTTGGTCCTCTGGTTGAGGCCAGAGAACTCTGGATGATCTTACATTCCCTTTGAGCTAGGATACATAGGCACCATGAGGTGAGTTAAGGATACAGTTTCAGCCTTAACTCAGAATTTCCTGATTTCTGTGTTCCGTCAGTGGGCCCTTGCTGTTGTTTTCACACACAATGGATACATGATTACAGCTGCTCAATATATTCAGCTCCTTGCCACACTCTTTGGAGGAGCTGCATTCTCTACTGAGCACTGCAGAAGTGTGTCTGGGCAAAAAATAATGCCATTGTTGCAGATCTGAAACTACTTCTGAGTTTAATAAATTCTTCAGCTTTTAGTATGTAACTGTTGGTATCCTGCCTTTTCTAGGTGCCATGTATTAATTTTATTTTGCATTGTCATGACAGAACATTAACCTCATTAATTGGGAATACCTTCAGAAGGAGTGTCTTATAAATGATACTGTTAATAGCAAACCATTGCTCTCTAGTTATGTTTATGGCACTAATGGAAGTATATGTATTTTTTTATATTTCCAGTACTTGATTGTTTTCAAACTCAAATGACCTTTTCAGATTTGGTAACATTAACATAGACCTGTGTTAAAGCTAAGTTTGGGATAACAGATAACTTACAAGAAGTACAACTTCAAGACATGAAACAAATCAGAAAAAGATTTTCAGCTATTATTCAGTAACTGAATATAGCTGCAGAAAGATTATATCTTTACTCCAACAAAATTTAAATAGAAAAAATTATATTGGGTTTCTAAACGAGAATAAATGGTGGAACTTCATGCTAAGGCTGAATTTTTCATGTTGAGCTCTGTAAAACTCAACTGTTCTGTAATGTTGGAATGTTCTGTAAGTGAATTTGCTGGTTATACTACCAATTGCAGCCCAGGCTTGTCCACAGCTTTTTTGAAAAGCAAAATACATAATCCATCAGGTAGAAGATGCGAGTCAAGAATTTAAAGTGCTTCTGCCTGAAGTTGATCCAGAAGGTCAGATGTGATCCCTAGAGAAAGGTGCATGGTTAGGAAGTCATGCATCTTACTCAGAGAGTGGCCTCATCAAGTGGTTGCTTGGTTTAAGCTGAACTTCACCTGGTGATAGGTCAATCTTCTCTTGATGCATTTCTGTGTATGTATGTTACTGTTTTCTTTCAAGTATTGTGAAACACGCCTTGAACTTTTGCCTACACAATCTTTTAACTCTGTCTGCTTTAAGTTGGAGTCTTGAGTGTTGATCAATCTAATACCTCACCAAGGCATCTACACCCAGGGACACACTGGATTTTTATGTACATAAGCTCCATTTCCTTCTATTCCTCTGCTACAGGACTGTTGTTGCTGCCTTTTCCTTAACTCCTGCCTCTCACTTGACTGAAGTGCTAGAATGTATTTCTATAATGTGTTTTCATTTCAATAGTTGGAGGCTATTCCCGTCAGATCCACATCTTCTGCAGTGTTTTCTAGCAGTCAGACTTTGTTTAGCTTGGTCCTTTACACTTTGTCAGACTTGTTTCACAATGTAGTTGGAATACAAAACATGCTTGAAGGCCAGTATTTGATGAGCCCATTAATTCCTTGCAAAGTCTAATTTTTCCTGACTTTATTTTCTGTTTCAAGCTGTTGTATCCTGCTATACAAAATCTCAGTAAATTTCCTTTCCTTGTTTTGAAGCCATTATTGAGTTGTCTGTAAAGAGCAACTGGTTGTTCCATTTTAATTTTTCAGCAAAATTAGTTGCCATTCAGTCCTGTCTCTCCTATAATGGCATTTGCAACTACAATTTGCTGTAGTGACCCTGCCTCCATTGTAGGAGCACAGGTGATGTGCCTTCTGCTTCTCTGTCAGCCTAATTACACTGCATCAGCTTCACCCACTCTGATCCACTTGAGATTTCCCTGCTTTCATCCTAGCACTGCCTTACCACTGTCTCTGCCAACATTCTTTAGCTGTATCTCAGTCTTTAGTTCTTTTTCCTAAGTTACAGTGTAATTCAGTGTGCCATTCTGCTGCTCTGGGAGTTGGAGTTTTTCTGCTGCTGGGTCTTCATTTCAGTGCCCTTGATGGATTTTCCTTGTATGTCCCTTATTTTGCACCTGTGTATTCTAGCCCTTAGCTGGTGTACCTGCACTTGGTTTAATTTCAGTTTTGGCTGCTGTAATCAGTTCTGTATGTGTAGCTGACTCCCTTGATTACTGTTTAAGTCAACTAGATTGTATTTTTCTTAAATTAAGATGTTTGGTTATTTATCATCTGTGTATATACATAACCTGAACTGAGAACACCCTAAAGTATAGAAAATAAATTTATGATATGGTTTTAGTATTAACATAGTAGGTTTTCCTTTGTTAGGACTAGCCTCAATTGTGAAACAGGTTGCTTGGGTTTTCTCTTTTTTTTTTTTTCCCTCCTTTCTTGTTGGAAGTGGTTTCACATTCATGGCCCTGAACTAATTTTCATATTTTTATACAAAAGTCACATCCTCTCTGAAAGTTTTAAGTAGCATTTTCAATTGCAAAATAGTCTCAAAGACTAATGATACATTACTCATTCCTAAGCTCTCTGAGAAAAAACTGCTAATATAAAGTCTTGTATTATGGCCTCATACCATTTGATAACAGAGCATTTAGTTAAATCTCAGATTAAATAATCCTTGCAGCTTCTTTCTTTTAATATGGGGTTTTACTTTGGTTATTGGTGAACAACATTAAAGATACGGCTTTTATACAAAGAGAGAGGGTTGTTTATATTTTCTCCAAGTGGAATATTTAACACTGAAATGTCCAACCAGTAACTTTAACTTGAAAAGGATAGCTGTATTGGGCAAGTATGTTATTCAGCTAACCATCATTTAAACAATATATACATCCTGGAATGCTTTTATTAGTTTATCCCTAGAATACTTGACTTTTTTTGTCCAATAGAACCTTTTAATAACAATTTTCAGTTCCATAATATGTTTTATTGCTTCAAATTAAATTTTTTGAGCTCTTACTCTTAGCAGGAGATCTGATTATTTGAAGGACTTCTCTTGGGAGAGTTGACTTTTTGTTAAGAACATAGATAACGCAGTTTGGGCAACTTGCTTTGAATATTACTGTGTGTTTTTCCACAGGGATACAAGGATTTATGTCTTTCATTATTGACTTTAGAGAGATGGTGAGGCAGTGGAATGGCAGTTTCTGAGGACAGCTGTGAGAGATGAGTTTTATCAGTGAATTGTTTATGACAGCATGCAGAGCTGATTTTATCATAGCAGGGGCTTTTCTGTAGCTCCCCAGGCAGCAAATCCAGTCGTGTTAGGGTGCAGCTCTCATGTGAATCAGGATAAGTGTGTGTGCAACAAAAGCAAACACAGTTTGGAGTGAACTTTTATCACCAGTGCTGACCAAATTCTCCATGCTTTTTTCTAGGTCATTAATAATGCCTGTGCAACTCAAGCCATAGTAAGTGTGCTGTTAAACTGTGCTCATCAAGACATTCATCTAGGAGAGACCTTGTCAGAATTTAAAGAATTTTCCCAAAGCTTTGATGCTGCAGTGAGTGACCAGTGCTTTCTGCATTTTGAGTGTCACAGTGTTACAGCTCTGGTGGTTTACAGGTGTTTTGTTACTTCCTTTCAGATGAAAGGTTTGGCACTGAGCAACTCAGAAGTGATTCGGCAAGTTCACAACAGTTTTGCCAGGTAACATATGTTTTAAATCTGGCCAAAATTTGAACAAATCCTTTTTAATCTCAGGGGTTTTTAAATTTTCTTTGCAGGCAACAGATGTTTGAGTTTGATGCAAAGTCTTCAGCAAAGGAAGAAGATGCCTTTCACTTTGTAAGCTATGTTCCTGTTAATGGGAGGCTATATGAGCTAGATGGCTTAAGGGAAGGACCAATTGATTTAGGTAATTTTACATTTTTGCTGAACATCCTTTATTTTAACAGCGGCTTTTTGCACTTAATTGGTCATATGTTATAGGTTCAGAGCAAATTATTTATTAAAATAATATCTTGAAAGTTTTCTGAATGAGCTGTAGGCTTGTACTTCCTTGCAGTCATTTGTATTGTTTTAATTTTGTTGGTCTGAAAATACCATTTCCTCCCTGCTTCCTCCATGTCGCTGATGCTCTCTCTCTTTTCATTTAGCAATCAAATGATCAGGTCCTGCAATCCCTTCCAAAACCTTGATAGTTTTGTTGCAAGACATAAGTTTACATAAAAGGAGAATATTTACAGCTGACTCGAGACACTTTTTTCTTTTATGTGGCTTGTGTTTACACACTGGCCTCTTTCTTCTTAAATAGCAAGTGTTTCCCTAATGGTTTAAAAGAAAATAGCTTTGTTCTCTGTAAGACAGGCTTCTGTTTTGTAATCTTTCTTGAGATATGTGTGCCCTGTTGAGTCTTGAAAAGCTCTGCACTGCCTATCATGTCTGTACTTTAGAGTCTGATACATTGTTAATGTCATGTTCCACACTCCATTCCCAGAGTGTTTTCCCAGATTTGTTGACAGTTTTAATTATGTTTAGGCTGAGCAATTGCATCCACATAGACAAAATCAAGAGTTAATA